TTTTAAGAGTTTGTTCGCACGCGACTGCCAGTTACAATATAGGCTGGGTAGCAGTTACGAGTGTCCTAATTGAAGCTTTTTTAGAGATTAAACATGGTATACAGGGGGGTCTGCCCTGTTGGTCTGTTGACCATCCACGTTGATATTTCTGTGTATATCTCAGGACGAGAAACTTTCAGGTAGCTTCCCAATAGTTAAAAACCGACTGATCGATTCCAGAAGAAATTCACCTTCATTTCCATGACAACCAATCCTAAGAGACATATTTGAACATAAGCAACGCTTATATCGCCTGTTAAATTCACCTTATATATAAAAAATTATGTTAAATCCACTAAGCTCATATGTCAAGATTCTCAACCCGTGTTTTTTTTAACACTAAAAAGTGTCAATGATAGCAGTCAGGGATGTGTACGTCCCAATGACAGTGCCGAAAATACCAAAGAGAAATATCAACACGTCCTTGACTACAATAACCTTGGAGACTGGCGCGTCCTCCGTCACCAAGGTGATGATCTCTATGAGGGCCGGTAGGATTAGAGCCAGAAACGAGCAGGCGACGGCGCCGATAAGGGAGATCAGTAGATCGATGTGTGGGATAGCGGCAGCGAATCCAACTGGGGAGAAAGATCAATTAAGGGTATCAACCTTTGGTACTATCATCATCATCATCTTCATCATCATCATCATCATCATCATCATCATCATCATCATCATCCCGTACACTACGTCTCTTTGGGTCACCAGTTTCTGTTGACTGTCTGGTCAGCTCGCTCCACCTTTAGCGGTCATTTACGATGGACTATGGTTCTAAAGTCAAGTAAATAGTGGACCCTTTTCCAAGGCTTCAGTTATTTTGGTCATATAGGGCTAGATGTATATTTTATACATCATTCGGGACTCGGTGGGTTATGTGGTCCACAGCACACCGGCCACCTTTACTTCCCAGGACTTACCTGAATCAAGGCTGGGTCGACCTGAGAGCCAAGGTCATGTTTGAAAAAAAAATTATGGTTCTGTCAGGATCCGACGCCAGGAACTTCCTATAGCGTCTAACCACCACATAATGTCGGCTCTCCACTCTGTTGGAGGAGTGAAATATAGATGTGTCCGTGGGTATGAAGGTACTCGAGGCGAGAGACCGAGTTTCTTTCAAGCAGACCGTAGTGAGAGCGACGTTCTGCAAAAACCTGCTACAAGATGACGATGATAGGTAGGGAGCTTTGAATCTGAGGACACAGACCCGATTAGCAAGTACACTCACCACAAGCTTTAACCCCTTCTTCTGTAACGGTTTGAGCTGAAGAGCAATAGAAACTTTAGTCTGAGGGACTTCAAAAGAAAATCTATGAGGGAGAAGTAGTGAGATTTTTCATTCAGATACAAGTTTTGATAAACCATCATCTGTCTGTGATGGGCATACCAAGGAGATAACATAAGTGTGGTAAAAAATTAATGTCAGGAGATGTGAACCAGCGTCATTGCACACGGTTATAAACCATAAGTGCTCTGCCACAAGTACGGACAGCTAATAAAAAACTGTCCACCTGTGTCGCCGTCTGCACGTAACTCCGTAGTTACAGCGACGTTCCTCCATTTACCCCAGAGTGTCAACTCTCGTACCCATTTCCTAGAGGCTAAGTGAACACCGGGAACCGCCAGGTTTCGAACACCGACCGTGGGCTGCAGCGAGTCGGAGCTGGATTTAAAAGCAAGTCTCGTATCGACTGTGCTAACTGGCAAAGAAACGTATAGTGCCCTGACTGTTACTAAAAGCCTAAAAAGGGTCCCGTTAAAATCCTAGCAATTAAAGGCGGTCGGTGTAATATTGACCACACCACCCCACCCCCTTCAACCCCCCCCCCCCCCCCCTTCCCCGAGCGCCGATTGATCTATAAAATATAGGACTAGCCCTATATGCCCAGTATGCATGAAGACATGGAGAAGATCATCTGCTAACGAAGCAATAATTGTCCCAGACTTACAAGTGATGAACACAACTGTGATACGGAACACGTATTCCCCGTATGTTCTCAACCTCTCCTGTTTTATGAGGCGCGATATCCTGGGCCAAGATATCGTAATCGGGACGTAGAACTGGATGTTGTAGGTAATCAGGATCGCAATGGCAAATATCAGCCTCACTGACACATACAATCTGCGGGTGAGAAAATATCGAATTTGTTACACTCGAGAAGCACATAGAATATTACCTGTGAAAACTAAACAATGAAGAATACCTTCTTCTTGTTCTCGTTCACAGGCTGTAACTCCGAGTGGAAAGTTCTGGTTGTTCGTCCACCTTCAGACTTTAGACTTCTTCCAGAACCTGGGTGTTGTGTGGACATCCTTTTTACAGATCAGATTTATTTGTATGCATACTGTTGGTTCCTTGTCTCTCAAGCAGATGCACTCCGACTTCGAAGGAAACCATCTAAGACATGCTTATTGGGGAGGCAGTGGGAGGCAGTGGGAGGCAGTGGGAGGCAGTGGGAGGCAGTGGGTAAGTTGAAAAAATCTTGCGCTCAGTTCAGGATTCACTCAGTTCACGCGCTTTAATCTCCAGCTAGACCAGATCGAAACAAGATTAGACTATCTGACCAGATCGAAACAAGACTAGACTATATGACCAGATCGAAACAAGATTAGACTATCTGACCAGATCAAAACAAGACTAGACTATATGACCAGATCGAAACAAGATTAGACTATCTGACCAGATCAAAACAAGACTAGACTATATGACCAGATCGAAACAAGACTAGATTATCTGACCAGATCGAAACAAGACTAGACTATATGACCAGATCGAAACAAGATTAGACTATATGACCAGATCGAAACAAGACTAGACTATATGACCAGATCGAAACAAGACTAGATTATCTGACCAGATCGAAACAAGACTAGACTATATGACCAGATCGAAACAAGACTAGACTATATGACCAGATCGAAACAAGATTAGACTATCTGACCAGATCGAAACAAGACTAGACTATATGACCAGATCGAAACAAGATTAGATTATCTGACCAGATCGAAACAATACTAGATTATCTGACCAGATCGAAACAAGACTAGAATATCTGACCAGATCGAAACAAGACTAGACTATGCGACCAGATCGAAACAATACTAGATTATCTGACCAGATGGAAACAAGACTAGAATATCTGACCAGATCGAAACAAGACTAGACTATCTGACAAGATCGAAACAAGACTAGACTATCTGACCAGATGGAAGCTAGACTAGACTATCTGCCCAGATGGAAACAAAACTAGACTATCTGACCAGATGGAAACTAGACTAGACTATCTGCCCAGATGGAAACAAAACTAGACAATCTCAGTTTCTCGTGGCTTAAATAGCCTCTTCCTTCCCTTCAAGAATGTTGTTACGTAAAATATGCCCTGTCCGCTTACTATGACATTTGGCCACTCACGCAAAATTCATGCTCGCCTGGTAAAGTCCATACTTGTCCGGTAAAGTCCATACTTGCCTGGTAAAGTTCATACTTGCCTAGTAAAGTCCATACTTGCAGGGTAAAGTCCATACTTGCCTGGTAAAGTCCATGCTTGCCTGGTAAAGTCCATGCTTGCCTGGTAAAGTCCACACTTGCCTGGTAAAGTTCATACTTGCCTGGTAAAGTCCATACTTGCAGGGTAAAATCCATACTTGCCTGATAAAGTCCATACTTGCCTGGTAAAGTCCATGCTTGCCTGGTAAAGTCCATACTTGCCTGGTAAAGTCCATACTTGCCTGGTAAAGTCCATACTTGCCTGGTAAAGTCCATACTTGCCTGGTAAAGTCCATACTTGCCTGATAAAGTCCATACTCGCCTGGTAAAGTCCATACTTGCCTGGTAAAGTTCATACTTGCCTGGTAAAGTCCATACTTGCAGGGTAAAATCCATACTTGCCTGGTAAAGTCTATGCTTGTCTGGTAAAGTCCTTGCTTGCCTGATAAAGTCAATACTTGCCTGGTAAAGTCCATGCTTGCCTCGACTTGACATTCAGTCTGTTCACTTCTACATTATTCTTAAGACCACCCAATCAGAATAGTTTAAGACAATAAAATACGAAGGAGAAACTGACTCTTTCTTTCTACTCTGTCCAGACATATAGTTTGAGTACGTCATTTTCACTTAAGGTTTACCTTACCATCTCTGTCTTGTTTCTCTGTCGCGGTGATGGATCTTAGTTAGTCGAGGCTCCAACATTGCAGTAAAGGGGTCTTCTCATAACTGCTCCGTGGATGTGCCATGGGAACTCACACGAAATGACATTCACAGTCCTATTGGACAACTAGTGAAATACATTTCAGTCCCAGCAATATTTCCTAGCTTGCACAAGCAACGTAAAACCGCATAAGACAGCTGTCACATGGGAACATGACAACTTACTTGTCGTCAGGCAGACTTAGAGTGTTGTGGAGACGATGGTTACCTACGCCATGGGAACATGACAACTTACTTGTCGTCAGGCAGACTTAGAGTTATGGTGCTCTGAATCTGGTCGCCAAACTTGAGGTAACCATAGAAACCGATGGTGGCGTACAAGCAGACAGTCGCACACATTCCCAGGTTCAAAACCCCAAACCAGCCAGCAAAGTCCTGGGGTCGTCTCATGCTGTTCTTCAAGGGCAGGACCTGGTGAGACAGAAGAGGGCCAGCTGTCAGGGCTGGGAAGTAATTACTTTTTTTTTTTTTTTTTATTCTCTGGGTTCAACGGCGGTAAACGCCAGCGAAAAGTTCTGGCTGTTCGTCCACTTCTGGACTTTAGTCTTATTGCAGAATTGAGTTTTGAGTGTACATTTATTTTACAGATCTCTGAAGTGAGAGGGAGGGGAGCTGCATGGTCTCGGGGTATGGTGTCCACCTCGAATGCTGGAGGTCCCGGGTTCAGGGCCCAGTAAAGGGTGTGATTTTTTTCTCCTAGACTTTCACTAACTTCCATTGGTCTCTGAGTAGTGATATCGGACGCCCGTGTGTATTGTCGCACACGTAAAAAAAATCCCTTGGCAGTTGGAAATCAAAAAGAGTAGCTTAACGGCCCTGCCCGGGCTAAATCTGGAGTTTGAAATCTACCCAAAGTATTTCAGGATCCTCGCCGGTGTATCGAAGTTCGTGCACTGAGCTGAGCTGCTTAAAACTCAGGCTTGAGGTAAAAGTTTCAAACACTAAAACAGCAAGACAATGTCCAAACACAGGGCTCACCAGACCAATGCCTTCCACGGTAAAGATGGCGGTGCCAAAGAAGAGCGGGAGGCTGCCGAATGAGCTGAAGGCTGGTCTCTTGGATGTGTCTGGCAGCCCCTGGACGATGTACTGTATGATGATGATTAAACCTGCGTGATGATGCAAGTTGCCAGATAAAAGACATTGTGAACACAGTAGTAGCAGCAGCAACAGCAGTAGCAGTAGTAGTGGTAGTAGTAGTGGTAGTGGTAGTAGTAGTAGTAGTAGTAGTAGTAGTAGTAGTAGTAGTAGTAGTAGTAGTAGTAGTAGTAGTAGTAGTAGTAGTATTAGTTGTAGTAGTAGTAGTAGTAGTACACGTAATAGTAGTAGTAGTAGTAGTAGTAGTAGTAGTAGTACTAGTAGTAGTAGTACTAGTAGTAGTAGTAGTAGTAGTAGTAGTAGTAGTAGTAGTAGTAGTAGTAGTAGTAGTAGTAGTAGTAGTAGTAGTAGTAGTAGTAGTAGTAGTAGTAGTAGTAGTAGTAGTAGTAGTAGTAGTAGTAGTAGTAGTAGTAGTAGTAGTAGTAGTAGTAGTAGTAGTAGTAGTGGTAGTAGTAGTAGTAGTAGAGTAGTAGTAGTAACAGTAGCAGCATCAGCAGCAGCAGCAGCAAAAGCAGCTGCAGTAGTAGTGGTGGTGGTAATGATGATGGTAACGGTGGTAGTGGCAGTGATGAAAAAGTAGAAGAGGAAAGTGGATGAAGAAGACGAGGAGGGGAGGAGTAGGAGAAGAAGAAGAAGAAAAAGAAGAAGAAGAAGAAGAAGAAGAAGAAGAAGAAGAAGAAGAAGAAGAAGAAGAAGAAGAAGAAGAAGAAGAAGAAGAAGAAGAAGAGAAGAAGAAGAAGAAGAAGAAGAAGAAGAAGAAGAAGAAGAAGAAGAAGAAGAAGAATTGGAAGAAGAAGAAGAAGAAGAAGAAGAAGAAGAAGAAGAAGAAGAAGAAGAAGAAGAAGAAGAAGAAGAAGAAGAAGAAGAAGAAGAAGAAGAAGAAGAAGAAGAAGATGATGATGATGATGATGATGATGATGATGATGATGATGATGATGAAGAGGAGGAGGAAGAAGAAGTAGTACACGTAATAGTAGTAGTAGTAGTAGTAGTAGTAGTAGTAGTAGTAGTAGTAGTATAGTAGTAGTAGTACTAGTAGTAGTAGTAGTAGTAGTAGTAGTAGTAGTAGTAGTAGTAGTAGTAGTAGTAGTAGTAGTACTAGTAGTAGTAAGTACTATAGTAGTAGTAGTAGTAGTAGTAGTAGTAGTAGTCAGTAGTAGTAGTAGTAGTAGTAGTAGTAGTAGTAGTAGTAGTAGTGGTAGTAGTAGTAGATAGTAGAGTAGTAGTAGTAACAGTAGCAGCATCAGCAGCAGCAGCAAAAGCAGCTGCAGTAGTAGTGGTGGTTCCGGTAATGATGATGGTAAACGGTGGTATGTGGCAGTGATGAAAAAGTAGAAGAGGAAAGTGGATGAAGAAGACGAGGAGGGGAGGAGTAGGAGAAGAAGAAGAAGAAAAAGAAGAAGAAGAAGAAGAAAAGAAGAAGAAGAAGAAGAAGAAGAAGAAGAAGAAGAAGAAGAAAGAAGAAGAAGAAAGAAGAAGAAGAAGAAGAAGAAGAGCCGAAGAAGAAGAAGAGAAGAAGAATTTGGAACAAAGAAGAAGAAGAAGAAGAAGAAGGAGGAGAAGAAGAAGAAGAAGAAGAAGAAGAAGAAGAAGAAGAAGAAGAAGAAGAAGAAGAAGAAGAAGAAGAAGAAGAAGAAGAAGAAGAAGAAGATGATGATGATGATGATGATGATGATGATGATGATGATGATGATGATGATGATGATGATGATGATGATGATGATGATGATGAAGAGGAGGAGGAAGAAGAAGAAGAAGAAGAAGACAATGAAGAAAAAAAAAGAGAAAAATAAGACAGATGCACATCAACTTACATACATAGAGAGCGAGCGAGTAATACAGAGAGACAGAATATAATGAGAAAACACAATCCTGCCACACATAAGACAACAGACAATAACTGGACTGGTCAGACATCAACCAGACGCTGACATACCCGCCACTGTGAGAACGTTCGCGAAGGCAGAAAATGGCGCCAACAACCGCAGATTTCTGATGCATGCAAACGGCACGAGCACCACCATGACACAGACTTCATAGACAGTAACATCCAGGTCAACAGACACGAAATAACCCACTACCTGTGGAGATAATAGACTGTATGTACACTGTATCATGTTTCTCTAATAACTTAGGTCTATATAACAGTTATGTCGTAGATCGTACTAGGATAATCTCACACAGTGTAAAAACTATGTAGCTTATGGTCAGACCACAGTGTGTGAATACTAGAACCTTCCTGTGTGGGTTTTTGGGGTTCCATAGCGCATCTGCCTGAGAGAGGAGGAACCAACAGGCTGCATAGAAATAAGTCAGATCAGAAAAACGAATATTCGGGCACAACTCAGCTTCTCGAATAAGACTTGTCTAGAAATGGAGGGAAACCAAGAATTTTTCCCTGAACGCCAAGAAGAAGAAAGCCAGAAACCATACACAACCATGTAAAAATTGACTCGTCACTTCACAGTCAAGGAATTATTCCAAGATTTGAACTTGTCCAACGTGTACATATGACCTCATTTCTGAAAGGCAGGCTACTGACACATAACCCCATGACCTCTAGTAGTCTCTAGTTCCTCGTGCAAGGTGCCCACAATGTGGTACAGCTAGTCGGATGGTTAAGAACGCTGGGCTCTCATCTGGCAGACCCGGGTTCGAATCTGCACAGTGTGTGGCGACAGCACCCGCCAGGTACCCATAAATCTTCAGACTCAAAGACACCTTCCGCCCCAAGCCCTCCCTATTTTCCGAGCCTAACGACTTCACCACAGAAGTGGCAACTACATGCAGTAATGGTTTTGTTTTGGGTTTTTTCTGTCCACAGAGTCTAGTTCCAGTCGTGTACTATTCAAGTTACTGATTGTAGTTCTACCTCTGTGCCTCACGGTTAGAACCAACATTCATATCTAGAGAAACAAACTACTCGTTAAAGAGCAATGGGAATTCATTTTTGTAAACGAGAGTTATCACATGTTTGTATACACAAGACATACGGAAAATGACTCTTTTTTACGCCGAAAGGCATTCCAGGCACATAGGGCTACCCCTTTTTTTAATAGACCTATCGACACTCGGTGGTCAAAATCACGCAGCCGCCTTTACTTCTCAGGACTTTACCTGGGACCCATTCAAGGTTGGGTCGACCTGGTACAGTCATTTTTGAAAAACTGTCTGGCTCAGTTCCAGTTCGAGCCCATGATCTTTGGATCCGTAGGCAAGCGTCTAGCTACTAGACCCCGGTGGCGCCCATGAGACAAGGGTCGCAGAATTCTGGACAAGGAATAATCTGGCAGAAAGTCAATCACTGAGGTCTCGTGGATATGGATTTACCGAAGAATATTATATTTCTTGAGAATAAAAACAGTCGAATACTATGGTTTCGAAGAGACCGTTGGGAGAAAACAGACTTGGGGAGAAAACAGAAGGGAGAAGAGTTTTGCGTTTTTGCACTCCGACTTTGAAGAAAGCTCCCAGTTAGTCTACTCCTATGACATGTTTGGTGGGGAGGGAGGGGGGAGGAGGGGGGGCTCAAGGGGTCTATTCTTTTTTTTCCCCACAATGGGGCCCCAAAACCAACACAGGGACTCTGAAAAGAACAAATATAGTTGCGTATCCTTTACAGAACGTCGATGAACCAACCCCAGCATGTTTTGGCTGTTGAGTTTTTTCTAGGGATATATACATTCAGGAGTTTGTCATTGCCCTCTAACAGTCAGCTGCAGTGCCACTAAGGAAAAAATACAATGCGGTCTGCTGTCAAATCGCCTTCAGCTGGGATGGAACCTGGCACCCCGGCATTACGAAGCGCTTCGCAGTTCCTGAGCCACAGACGCCGACTTCAAAACTAAACTGCAGCAAAATATTGAAGGTATTTATGCAAGCGGTAGACAGGGGTACGATCGGGCAGACAGCGTCAAGAAATAGACAAACAGTAGTCTGCAACAGTAAACAACCAGAGCGAGAGCCAGAGAGTGTTTGACCAGTCTTATCAACCTTCCGTACGGAGTCGGCACCTAGTGATATTCATTAGTAATAAACTATAGAAGCCCTGTGTGTGTACTCACCATCTGAACGTTCTTGGCGATGAACACGATGTAGACACAACAGGCTCCAAGTTGAGTAAATATGAGTAGAGCGTCCACAAATGGCCTGCCGGTAGACACAAACAAGAAATCCATGAGAAAACACGTTCGTTTGTTTGTTTAATTGACTGACAATTTCCTGGAGACTGAGTTGTAAATCTTAAATCCGGTGCGTTAGTGCTCAGATTGCATCAACCCTGAAATATTCTTGCAGTTGTCGCCGTCATCAGTCATCAGCACCCTCACTTCCACCCGCTTTTTTCTATTACAACATTCTCAGTTATTATCACCTGCACAAATGAATCAAAACGCCACTGTTCGGATAAGAATTCAACAGGTGCAAAGATGAGAAACTCCGCCACCTGTCAAAGACTGTTACATTTTAAGCCCCGACGGTTCAGACATAACCTGTCGCCGAATGTGGGTATATATAGCAGCCGACAATCAATATAAGGCTTTTAGTCCTGGCACGGTACCAGATTATCATTTCCACGGGAACTGTGTTGCTGAGCTCATCTTTAGCACTTTAAGATCATGACTCAGTGAGCTGTGCAAGCATGGTGCATGAACCTCATATCTTCATCCTCGGGTTAACCGGTTGTAAACTCCGGCGCAAAGTTCTAGCTGATCGTTGACTTCTGCCCCCCACCCCTTTCTTTCTCTTTCCCCCTCTTCCCCTCCCCCGACACCCTCCAATCCTGCCTGCATACGCCAGTCATCTGTTTAGGTAAGTGCCTATAGTGTTTCGCAAAATGCTTGATGGCTATATTGAGCTGAAATGTTCATTATCTCATATGTGACTCTCTCTTTCTCTCTCTCTCTCTCTCTCTCTCTCTCTCTCTCTCTCTCTCTCTCACACACTCTCTGTGTGTGTGTGTGTGTGTGTGTGTGTGTGGTTGGGTGGGTATGTGTTTATGACGATAAACAAAGCTGAAATTGATGGTGGTGACATTATATGTACATTCAGCATACACAAGCCATGGACTAAACATATAACTGACACTCTAAAGATATGGTTAGGATACAACCTAGCACAATTTATTACCCTAGGCGATGACCGACACTATAAAATATGTAGTTTCGCGAATCTCGAATGCGGAGGTGGCACTGGGTGGTGCTATCATATAGACAGTATCATAAACGTATGGCGAGTCAGGTGATACGTATAAACAAGTGTCAAAGTTGAAAAGAAAAGGGCATGGAAATGGGGGGGGGGGGGCAGGGGGAATATCTATTGGTGTCACCTGACAAATCTTGAGAACCTCTGCAAGGGAATGGGTCCAGTCTTGAAACTCATCTCCATGACTCCCGCGTAGTCCAACACGTCATTTCCGGTCCTGTAAAAGTTATCGTGACGACATAACCAATTAATATCAAGAGATGTCGAATACATAATTACAATAACTGTAAAAGTAACGACAGGTCGCATTTCGTGGAAATGAAAACAATCGAATACAGAGGTTCTGAAAATACTAGGAATAAAAGGTAAGATTGCTTACGGAATTTGAGAGAAAGAGAGAGAGAGAGAGAGAGAGAGAGAAAGAGAGAGAAAGATAGAGAGAGGTTTAATACTACAGCCATATTAATATCCATAACACCCTTTAAAAACAAATTGAGGGGGAAGTTAAAGGCAAGTGGGCAAAATACAGGCAGCTATACAAGTAGGTGGACGAAGAGAAGTCTGAGAGAAGGTTCATCCAGAGTCTGCTGAAGATGCATTGTAACCAACCTTCATTGTGAAGACGGTAACTGGGTAATTGGTTAATTACTTGATTGATTGATTAAGACACACACACACACACACACACACATCAACAACAACAACAAAAACAAAAACAACAATAACAACAACACCAAGAGAGTCAGTCATAAGTATCATCGACAAGATGAAACTGTAAGCGTGTATCTCAGATGATCCTTCTGGCGACGTGAGACTTGAAATGACGAAAACATTTCACTGGTTCTTGCTTGCAAAGAAGAAAGATGAGGAGAAAGTGAAAAAGAAGGAAGAGGAGAACAGGAAGACTTTGAAAAAAAAGATGAACGGGGGATACGGGGGAATGAAGTAAACTGAGACGTTTTTGTGGAGAACGAGAGTAGACCCACTATCTGCCTAACAAGTATTTCGTAAAAATTGACAAATGGGGAGTGTTTTCTTCGAAGTCGTAATACATCTGTCTGAGACGCGAGTAGCCAACAGCATGCATACAAATAAATCATATCTGTACAACTGAAAGTCCATAAGTGGACGAACAACCAGAACATTGTGCCGGAGTTTAAAGCTGGTGAACGCCAAGAAGACATAGAAGGTCGTAGAAACAAGTTCCCTACCAAGGCTCGGCCATTGTAGACTGAATGGACATTTCTTTCATGTCGGCGCGCATCTGTCTGAGAGGCAAGGAATCGTACAAAACAGCCAGACATGCTGCACGGATGTGCACCAACACTAAATACCTGGAACAAGGCTAACGTCCAGAAGTGGACGAACAACCAGGACATTCGACCTGAGTTTACTGCTGGTGAAGGATAAAAATAAATCAAATGTGTCATACGTGTGTGTGTGTGTGTGTGTGTGCATATGAGTGTTTATGTCCCTATATGGTCGCTCAACTCGAGTAAAGGTCCAAACTTTCTCAGAAGCCCAAATGTCTGCTCACCTTTTACACAGTATCTCGTTGCAGCCTATAAGCATGTGCATACAGTGGACTGCGATACCACTGACACACAGAATCCCCGCCAAACCTGTCTGGGGATAGATAAATCAACATTCCAAACATTAATGTTTATTTGTCCCCTGACGGACGAGCAAATAAATGTATATATAACAGAATATGTTAGACAAAAGGAAGCGAATCGCGAAGATTCAAACGATACAAGGATCGTAAAATGCAAATTAATGGATAAAATCTGTGCTTTAAGTTAGTTACTTTACCATAATCGACCTTACTGCACATTAGACATTCCGATTCGTGCTTAGTCCTCTGTTGCAGCAGTCATTTAAAGGTATTGTTGGTTATAGTGTATCCTGTTTTAAGCCTCGAAGACGGTATAGACATGCGTCAGAAAGCTTTACTCCCATGTCACGAAATCATGTTAGCGTCAGAGATTCACCATTCACAGCTTGCAAAGACAGTACTGCACCGATGATATCAGCTCTGTCCGTGCTTTCTCGCGTATGTACTGGTGTGTTACTTACCAGCTGGTCAGTTCGTTTCTTATCCTTCACTCCTGGGTGTCATGTGTGTAGATCCAGGTGATGCAGGCTAACTGTGACATCCAAGCGTTAGCTACACATTCGGAGCATGGATTACCTACTGCGAATTTCTGAAGCATGTACACAGAGTCTGAAACGTTTACCGCATGTGTTTCCACCTGTTGTGTTACCTGTGCGAGCGCTCCTGAAGCAACAGTTACCTAAGCAGGAGAACACTGCAAGGGCACCATCTCAGCACGGACATGTCTCGACCCCTGTCTACTCCAGACTTTCTGTCCAAATGGCGGATAGGCAGGCTTGCTGTCTTAGTCTTGGTAAGGTTTTGCTTCTAACAATTGTTAGCTGTGGCATCTTCATCTCCGTGTGTACTGGCGAGCAAAAAGCAAGCAAAGAATACTGTCTCTCTAGCCTACGCATTTCTTGCAACCATTTCGGGCCTCGGTGTGAGTTCTCTGAAGGTCGATATATTACCGAGTAGTGCGACTTCCGTCGTACAAAGCACAAACACACACACACACACAAAGAGAATTATGTGCAGTTTAGACTAGGACTGATTATTGGTGCTCCACAGGGAACACAACTGAAAGCCTTCGTGAGATTTAAACCCTTGCCTGCTGACACAGAACACCTTGCTCTATTAAAAGCCACCACGTACTAATTTTTGCAACGAGCCAGGAAACTGCGCCTGTCAACTGGATTTACAAATAAACACAAGCAAGCAAGGTAGCGATGGCCAGGCACCGCCAGTCGACGATAGAGAAAAGTAACCTGAAAATTGTCGGCTGTTTTTAGTTGACTAATATCAAATAACAGCTCGGGTTCAATGTGACAGAAAGTAACAAAATCATTCTAGAATTTTCCAGAGGATGAACTAATGAAATGATTAGAAAAATAACACGTGACAAGCTGAAGTTCTTTATATCGAAATTGACGCCCAGAAAAAGGATCATTTCACAGCAGTTAGATACACAGACGTCTCTGGTGGCTGATAGCCAAATCGGTAAAACGGCACTAGAGACTCTAAGACGGATGTATGAGGGAAGAGACTTGAGCTTCTAACCGGGAAGCTTGATAAATAATAACGGATGGAAATAAGATGACCAGCCTCTACTGAAGCATGATACGGCAAGCTTGGAACTAGATCATAGGGACGGACGGACATTTTTTTTTTTAACTTCATTATATTCTGCTTCGTGATGAAGAGGCCTTGGCACATCTAATTCTACCTTGAGTGTGAAGTATGCCAGTATGTGGATTTGAGGATTAGGCTGAGCTTATTTATAATTGGATTTACTAGAAGACAACACAGAAAAACGTATGTACATTTGTGTTGGGTTGTGGCGTGGTCAAATTTATGGACCCTGAGCAACATTGTCATTAAACAGATGTCTTTTCCTTAAACACAGCTTTATGTTAGTGTATTATCCAAGTTGTTAATGGATGATTCCTGTGGAGAAGAAAAATGGCAAAAGAATGGTGTTTCGGTCATATATAGTTCATGGTCCTAGACGTGGTCGTAACGAACCTGGCGACTATTAAAGCAAGGAACACTGCCACATGTGCTCCAGTGACCGATTAACGACTGACAACAATAACGCTTCACAAACCAGATCTAAGGGTTGTGCTGGTCGTAGTAATGAAGATGAAATCACATAGCGACCTTTGTAGAGAATGTGTATCAACATTGGAAAGTGGCAATTCGAAGTGTGAAATCTATGTTGTCATGTAAGTGTGTTATCGTAAATGATACGAGTGGCCATGCTTTCTGTCTGGATAAACGGTTGCTTCAAACAAATTTGCTGAATAACTCCAAACACATCCAATGGCATTAGATAACAACAGTGAGTTAGCAGAAATTCAGTATATGATAGTTAGATGTGATAGTTTGTAACTGTTGTCCTTCACTTGATGAAGTTTAGTTTAGTTTTTCCTTCCACGTATGCCGCTAAGCGTTGTGGGGAGATGCAAGTTCCTGTCATAAGCAAGGCGGGCAGCATCTGATGTTCTGAGGCCATGCTTTTGGCAGGTTTCGGAGACCCCGTCAATCCACCGTTTCCTTGGTCTTCCTCTTGCCTTATATCCTGAGCTTCTTTGGTTGAAAATTTGTGATGTTATTTGATCATTTTTCATCCTGGTTAGATGTCCAAACCATTTCATTCTTTGATGTTCTATGTAGTCTAAACATGGCGTAGTTTTGACAGTGTTTCTAATGTCTATATTCTTTATCCTGTCTAGTCTGGTCTTGTTCGCTGCTTTTCTTAGACATTTCATTTCACAGGCTTCTATTTTTCTTTCATGGGTCTTGTTGATTGTCCATGTTTGGCACTGGTAGCAGAGTGTTGGAATGAAGATGGTGTTTATCAATTGTCTTTTGGTCTTCATGGTTATATTCTGGATGTTTAAGCAGAGGTGATAGTTGGTATGTGACAGCATTTGCTTTCTGTATTCTTGTTTCTATCTCTCTGTCCGTTCTTCCATCCTCTGTAAATATACTGCCCAAGTATTTGAACTCTTTGGTTTGCTTGATTTTGGCACTTCCAACATTTATTTTCAGTGGCCTGTGTGTTCTGCTGATCTTCATAACTTCTGTTTTTTCTGTACTGATTCTCATATTATGTTGTAAACAGCTGTTGTTGAGAGTAGTCAGATGTTCCTGTAGATCATATTCATTTTGATACAGTATGCTTTGATCATCAGCAAAAAGTAATTCGTTTATAGCATACACGTCTGGGTTTGCTTCTACAGTGATCTTATCCATGTATGTTATGAAAAGTAATGGTGACAGTACACATCCTTGTCTGACACCAGTTGTGACTTTGAACCATTCAGAAAGACCACTAGATGTTCTTACTGCACTTTCACTTTTTTCATAGAGGGCTCTGATGTTGTCTAATAATTGACCCTGCACTCCGTAATCGTCAAGAATTCTCCACAGCACATCTCTGTCTACACGGTCGAATGCCTTCTCTTGATCTACAAAGACCACGTTCAGCTCTTTATCGTATTCGAGTGTCTTTTCACAGGCTTGTCTTAGTGCCAATATGGCATCAGTGCAACCTCGCCCTTTCCTGAAAACCGAATTGTGCTTTACTCAGTAGAGGTTCAAAACCTTTGCTCTTATCCTACCTTCTAAGATCTTTGCATACATTTTCCCCACATGACTTAGTAAAGATATTCCTCTATAAGTTCCACATTCTCTCTTGTTTCCTTTTTTCTCCAGATAGGTACTACAACTGATCTTTGCCAATCCACTGGTACCTTTCTCTCTGCCCATGCTCTATTGAAAATTCTCTCCAGCCAGGTGATCATAGTGTCCCCTCCAGCCTGGATGACTTCTGTTGTTATTCCGTCAATACCAGCTGCTTTGTGTCTTTTACTTGTTTTTTGATAACTTTCTCTACTTCATCCCGCAGGATATGTGGTTCTAGATGATCTGGAGCCCTTGAATGGAATTCTGCTGTTTCATGTACTCCCGACGGGTTCAAAAGTTCTTTAAAATATTCCTCCCATCTTTTTTTAATTTCTTTTTGGCTGAATAATGGTTTTCCATTTTTATCGTTTATGACTGATGTTGGATTGAAGCTTTCTTCTCTTAATCGCATCGCTTTCACACTCTTATAAAAGTCTCTTGGTGATTCTGTACAAAGCTGTGTTAGGTGTTCACCATACTTTTTCCATGATTCCTCTTTGGATTTCTTTATTGTTCTCTTGGTGTCTTTTCGAGTTAGTCTGTACCTAATGTAATCCTTTTCGTCTTTTGTTTTTAACCATATTTGAAACATCTTCTTTTTATTTGACACTGCTTCTTTGACTTCTTCATTCCACCAAGCGGTACCCTTTTTCTTGCCTTTGCCCGTCTTTCTGGTACCACACTTGTCTTTTAATATCTTCGTGATGGTTCTTGATGAAGTACGTTCCTCAAACAAGAGAAGCGAAAAGACGAGACAGCGGCCGTGCTAATATGAAATATACTATTTGTTTGGCTGATGCGGGGCCTACTCTCGGCAGTTGGTCACCGATAATTGTAGATGTGTTAGGCCGTTCTTCTTCTGTTCTTCTTTGTTCTTCTTATTCTGTTGTCGTACCGCTATTGCCGTGAATTATGGCAGAGTGGAGTCAGGTGTAGTCAGACCGTTACTCGAGTAAAGTTTAACAATGATCAAACCATTACACAAAATAATATTCGTATCCAGGGCTTTTTTTTTTTTTTCTCTATTTCTGCAATGGAACTCACCAAAAAGTGTCTTTAAAGAGGTGCTGGGACACATCACAAGGTGTCTATTACAGCCGCGCTGAAAAGGCGGGGTGGGGGTGACTGCACGCCAGGGGGAAAAACGCCGTGTGTGTATCTTGTTTTTTGTTAGACAAACATTATATTTTCATCATTTTAGTTTGTTTCCTGAAGTATTTTAAGTTCCTCTTGGTTGTGATCTTTTGGAGAAGACTGAAGCCCCGAAGGAATTATCTGAGTGTGATGCAATAGTAATCATTCCCAACCCACATATTTTTGACATCATTTTCGCCTTGGTTCTCTGTCCGAGTTTCCCTATCTCATTGCTACACAGCTGATATCTTAACATCAATTCTCTGTCCGAGTTTCCCTATCTCAGTGCTACACAGTTGATATCTTACCATCAACTGGGACATATTCAGAGGTATAACTATCTAATCATAACTCATCATCATTATGTGCCGTCCACAGAAGCACAAGTCATCCTACATGCTGACCTACATCGGTGTCGATGACGGGGAGTCCATGTCATGACTGTAAACGTCGCTCACACTTTCCATTGACAAAGAACAATTCATTCATTTTCTATTTTATTGTTACGGTTTTCTATTTCTTAGAAACACGCCACTCGGTTTACCTCTCAAACGTAGCGAAGAGAACGATCGTTGTATGTTTACGCCAGACATTGTAACTTGGGAAAGCTACCAGTTACACAATTCTACGATGATAGGTGCACACGCATACTCTCAATAGCTAAGCGACAAGAAGGAAAATATCTCGTGATAGCCTCTCTGCAGTAATCATTACCTGCTAACGCTTAAAATGCGCACTGGTTACGCCTCGCCACTGATCGATGGTAGCTAAATGATTGACTGATAAGTTTTTCTTTCAACATATTTTCAGGGTTTATTTCAGTACATTAATAATTCCTGTCCATCTTTCTAGTTCCCCTCCCTACTACCCGGAGGCTTCAAGAATCTCATTATGGGTGGTAACCCAACAGGGTACATCTCAAATACCTCCCCCCCCCCCTTCCCCGTGTGGGTTCCGGGGCCCCATCGTGGGGAAAACAAGAATAGGCCCACTGCCTACCCAAAAGCATGTTGTAAGAGTCGACTAATTGGGTAGCTTCCTTTGAAGTCGGAGTGCATCTGCCTGAGAGGCAAGGAACCATCAGTCTGCATTCAAAGTGAATCAGGGTCTGAAAATGATATGCACACGCAACACTCAGGTTCTGAGCTACACTGCAGTCAGACTGTGGACGAACAACCTTCTTCTCCACCAGAGTGTTTACAGCTGGTGAAAGGGAAGAAGAAGTGTTTTTATCTAATATAGGTGTCTCTGCACCTGGGTATGAGTAAACACTCTACTTATGTGTATTACAGGAAGCCGTCCTTTTCAGGATGGGGGGGGGGTGTTAGACCCTACTCTGAATGCTTGCCAGAGGGCTTGTAAGTTAGCCTGGGTTTGACAAAAATATGGCATACCCTGAATGCGGTGAGCTGGGACCCGTCTGACTGTGGCTTCACTCTTCTTCTGCCGGTTTTATGTCAATTTATTGATACTCATTTAGTGGTGTTTTTATCTAAAATAGGTGTCTCTGCACGAGGGTATAAGTAGGTTAACACTCTACTCATTGATTGTTTCAGTTCAAGTACCAGACATAAAGCTGCAGGATTACCCATGTTCACACTCATCTGTCTAGTATATCTCTCTTTGAATCCGTGTATGTCTACAATGATACAACAATAGATTGGTTATTCTTTGTCAACCCTTTCCTTATTCGTCGTATTTTGCTTCTTGTATACTTATAGGTATTTTGCCATGTCTTTGGGGGTGGCCCAGTTATTGATGGTGCTCCTTTAATAAATATAATATATATAATTCATTAAACGTGTTGTCCTATGATTCAGATCGTGTTCATTTATGAATATAGACGTTGTGTACATCGTGTGTCAACAGTGCATATTTCTGAAACATATAACTGAGATGCCAGAGGGCATTGCAGATAAAAAGGTACAACTAGGTCACAAACGGAACAAAGAGACAGATAAATATTTATTGCTTAGATTTTGATTTGCACGTTTCCGTCTTTCCAGATGATAGTGTTATATTGCGCTATGAGGAGGCATGGGACTCACAGCCCATGGCGATGGCGAGTGTGACTATCAAGACCCACCTGCGCTAGGATAAATATTACAAGCGTACATATTGGCTTCATATCACGAAGGTCTGAAAACAGTGGCCATGCAAATGGACCACCCAGTTTGTAACGGTTAAATAGACAACATAAGAAAAAAAAAACTTTACCCAAAGTCCCGCATTTTTGACGGCCATTGGCAAAGACAAGATGCCCGTTCCGATGTTTCCTTTGAAGATGTGCATCAAAGTCTGCATGTTGCTGGGGACAACATGGGGACACTCTCAGGTCAACATGTTCAGAGAAAACGCCGTACATCGAACAATCACTACAGTTATCTATTCTGTTTTCATATCATCATCACCACCACCATCATTATCATCATCATCATTATTTTGTATGATCATCATCATCATCGTCATCCTGCATTTTTTTTTTTGTTGCTTCTTCTTTTTCTTCTTTATCATCTTCTGTAGTCTTCTTCTGACTGATAGCGTCAGGGTTTGAAGAATCGTCCAATGCGAGACTTGGTTAAAAGTTACTTGTGTATCCTTTTTTAGGACGTTGCAGAACCAACCCCAGCATTTTCTGGCATCTTTGGTTTGTTCTAGACAAATTTGACGTTCAGTAGTTCAGTAGAACGGTCGGCTCTCCGTACCACTGTCGAAGCCAAGCAAGACAAATCGTCCGCAGCTGCCATCGAACCCGGCACCCTGGCATGACGACGCCTGTTTGCAACGCCTAAGCCGCAGACTGCGAAACTTGTACGTGCTACGATATTTACGGGCTCGGCTTTTTTATCTATCCATTGGTTGGGTGGTCTGACTCTAGTTCTGCTTCCATTATGTCAAAGTGACATGGCTGTCTGTGGTGCACTATCTGGTGGCAGTCTTGACTCATGTCCAAACTATTTGATTTGTCGTTTCTTGATGCACTTTAGTACTGGCTCCGTCTCACTTCCAGTTACATGTAGGATTTATCGCAGACATATCATGTCTGTTATTTAAATTTCTCCTTTTTCTTTCACCATTAATGTCCACGTTTGGCACTGGTAACATAACACTAGTAAAAATGCTGTATTAAATAGTGTTTGTGTTAGTGTAATTTGTTTTATGGTTGTTCTGTACAATTGATGACATGTATCTAATGATCTGACTTGTTTGATTACATGTGTGATCTATCTCTCCTTTCATTGTTCCGTTAAATGATATTATGCTTCCTTGTTACTAGAAGTCTTTTGCTTGCTTGAACTAATGATGGATTTTTGATGCTTACTTACTTCCCTCCCGCTGACTGCCACCATTATTAGACGTTCTCTTTTTTAAACAATTGTTACTCATTTTAGAATTTTTTCAAATATATTATGCCCCCCCCCCCCCCCCCCCCCCCCCCCCCCCCCCACCCCGTTAAAAATATAACAAAAAGATTCCTTTTCACGCCTTAAGCGCATCGGGCAAATGGGAAGAGCATCCCATATTTTTACCGACCAATCGGCGCTAGGTAAGTAGAGATTATGTGGTCAGTATTACGCCGGCCGTCTTTCTTCCCCAGGACAGCCCATCCTGGTACCCATTTAAGGCTTGGTCGACCTGCGAGGCACCATACCATGATTAAAAATCTACGCAACCAGCAGTGGGTTTCGATGGCGGTACGTTGGAATTACGAGTCAGACTCGCAATGCCTAAGCCACATGTGCGTTCAGCATATAGCAAAAACTAATACTATTAATAACAATAATCATTATTGTTTTATAATAACAATAATAATTGATATTATTATTTTGCAACTAAACAAGGTTATTAGTCCATCCCCATTCCTATAAATGTATTCCCCCTCCGCTCCCCGTCTCCTGTTCTCTGTGGCGATGTGACTGCTGACGACTGCTCTCTCTGGCTCACGTTAGGTATAATCAAGGGAAATGAAAAGCAAACACATTGTAATAACTACAGTACATACGTGATTGATGTTGTTGATATGTCTGCCTCTGCCACAATCTCCACATCGTATGGTTTAGCAGCGTCGTCGAGGCCGTCGCCTGTGATCTCGGTGGATGAATACGAAACACTAAGCTCATCGCTGAAATTGACGGGTTTCCTCTCGGGGAATTTGAAAGGCATTGTGACGCCTGTAGTCTGACGTCTGCTTCAAACTTGTAAATAAACTGAGTTTCAGTTTATAAGTCCATCTTACGCATTATGGTGGCCCTATCAATGGATGAAAACATAAGTTGTACCGTTTTCACATTGAAGGTCAGCTGAAGTGTATCAACTGCTTTGTTTGGAAATATTACTTTACTCTTGTACTATAACATGTAAGTAAGTATATTTGATACCACCAGGACAACTCAAGAGCGATAAACACCCGATGACACAAAGTGCCACCATGCGGATCAACGTGGAGAGGTCCCGGAAACCGCGTTCAACAGTTAGGTTACATTGCGGCCCCTGGAAACAGCCAGGGTGAGGCTTCACAATAACAAAAATTGCATCTCACAAGGGTGATGACGAAGATAACAAGTGTAGAGCTATAACATGCTTCGGAAAATAAAAACTAGCGTCCTACGAGTAGAGTGGATTTTCAGTTGATAACATGCGGGTGTGCGGAGTAATGAGGCGAATAGATTGGCTGCTGACACCCCTCTGGGCTCTGGTCTACTTTATGTGAAAGCGGGCATGGTGAAGGCTCTCTGTGATCAAATGGACACTGCAATGGTTTCTTCTTCTTCTTCTTCAGCTACTACAACAACAGCTGCTGCTGATGATGCTGTCACTACATTACCGCTACTGGTGTTGCAGATGTCGCCACCTGCACCATGACGGCTACATTTTTCTGCTGCTACTAACTCAAGTCGTGTTGCTTTTGTTGTCATTTATGTCCCCACCCTCTCTCATCCTGCCTACCGCTAAGCATTTCCCTAATAAATATACTTATATAGTACATTGCAAATTTGTCAAGAGTCCGATTCTTAACTCGCCTTCAGTTTTTCTGTTGTCATGGCATAATTCATATCTTTATTCTTTCCTGTAACCTGCCCAGAAAATGTGAGGTTCCTGATTGTGTAATTTTTTCCCCGTTATCTTCTTGGAGAATTGCTAACCTCTTTGTTGCTAGTGCCTTCCTCGTCATCACAGCTCAACCACAGCAATACCATACAACTCTCAGTATTTGACTGTTTGCAGTAAATGTGTCAAAATGTATGCCTGATTCTTTTCTGTACTCAAACCCTGTCCTCTGTCCTGACCATACCTACATTGTCTTCCTGCATACAGACGCCACTTAGCCTTTTACCATTTAGAAGCGAATCTACGGTGTCGAAGTGCCCTCCAGAAGTAGTTGGCAGACGGTTAAGACCGGAGTACTCTCATGTGGGGGGCCTGGTTTCGAATCCTTGGAAAGGTAGGGATTTTTTTTTTTTTCTGTCAGAGGTTACAAGAAAATCCTCACCTGCACAATCCTTGGCGACAGTACAAGCCATGCGACCTTAAATCTGCAGGCTCGAAGAGCTACAGCGCAAAAGTGGCAACACCTCACCAGGTAATGTTCCCAGAGACAGGAGTAGGTGCAGGTATCTACAGCAGCCAACCTCTACTCTACATTAATTTGAAAGAAAAAGAACTGTACAAAAAAAAATTCAAAAACACTGAAAACGTACGTGTCTGTAAGTTGCTAACAATGACACTGTAGAGCGATAAATCTCCCGTGAAGGAGAACCGAAACACACAAGTGATGTAGAGAAGTTACAGAGGAGACACTTATCTAATAAGTACACGTGTATACTTTGGTACAAGTACGTTATCAACAAGTTATCGCTGCAGTTATCTCATGCTATAGTACAGAAAATTGATTTGAGGGACACGCAGATCAATGTTCGACAGTACGCAACAGAGTTGATGGACCTTATTTCAAACACGAAAGACACGCACACAGATTAATGTTCGACATTATACAACAGTTTATAGACACGCAGATCGATGTTCGACAGTACACGACAGTTTATAGACACGCGGATCGATGTTCGACAGTACACAACAGTTCACGCAGATCGATGTTCGACAGTTCACAACAGTTTATAGACACGCAGATCGATGTTCGACAGTACACGACAGTTTATAGACACGCAGATCGATGTTCGACAGTACACGACAGTTTATAGACACGCAGATCGATGTTCGACAGTACACAACAGTTTATAGACACATAGATCGATGTTCGACAGTACACGACAGTTTATATAGACACGCAGATCGATGTTCGACAGTACACGACAGTTTATAGACACGCAGATCGATGTTCGACAGTACACAACAGTTCACGCAGATCAATGTTCGACAGTTCACAACAGTTTATAGACACGCAGATTGATGTTCGACAGTACACGACAGTTTATAGACACGCAGATCAATGTTCGACAGTACACGACAGTTTATAGACACGCAGATCGATGTTCGACAGTACACAACAGTTTATAGACACGCAGATCGATGTTCGACAGTACACGACAGTTTATAGACACGCAGATCGATGTTCGACAGTACACGACAGTTTATAGACACGCAGATCGATGTTCAACAGTACACAACAGTTTATAGACACGCAGATCGATGTTCGACAGTACACGACAGTTTATAGACACGCAGATCGATGTTTGACAGTACACAACAGTTTATAGACACGCAGATCGATGTTCAACAGTACACAACAGTTTATAGACACGCAGATCGATGTTCGACAGTACACGACAGTTTATAGACACGCAGATCGATGTTCAACAGTATACGACAGTTTATAGACACGCAGATTGATTTCGACAGTACACAACAGTTTATAGACACGCAGATCGATGTTCGACAGTACACAACAGTTTATAGACACGCAGATCGATGTTCGACAGTACTCGACAGTTTATAGACACGCGGATTGATCTTCGACAGTACACAACAGAGCTGATAGACACGCTGATCAATGTTCGACAGTACACAACTAGATTTGACTGAACTTCTTTCAAACACACAGGACACGCTCACAAATTAATGTTCGACAGTACACGACAGAGTTGATAGACACGCAGATCAATATTCAACAGTACACAACAGAGTTGATAAACAAGCAGATCAATATTCGACAATACACAACAGAGTTGACAGACACGCAGATCTATGTTCGACAGTAAACAACTAGAGCTGACGGGACTTCTTTCAAACACGCAGGTCGGGAAAGGGTATTGAAAATAGATCACAATGTAGTCATCATCATGGTTATGTTCCTTGACTGAAGCCGTGGATGTACAAATCTCATTCCTTGCTGTTCTGGAACATTTCATCTGCCCACTCTACCTGCAACTTTGAAAAGACACCTGGCCTCAAGAGTAAAATGTGCAATGCAAGCTATGGGGAACCTTGCAGGACCTGCAGCTGACATGCGAGTTCATAGAGGCTACCCACCTGATGGTCTGATCTGAGCATACGAAACCGAACGCAAAGAAGAAGAAGAAGGAACATTTCGACTGATGCTCTTCCTTCCCGTCCACAGCAAAGACCACTCAGAATTTTGTTGTTGTTGTCTAGCATAACATCAAAAGAGGTGAAGTCAGACAACAGCGCTACACGGGGCCCAAAAAAAGAATAGTAAACCTACATAGAACTGGTGTCATAAGCTACTACACACTGAGGGAGATACTGAAGAGGGGATCTGAACACTTATGGACTGAATGGTTTGATGCGTGACAATGATAATCTGTCGACTAACTAACTAAATATTTCTCTTTCCACTCTTCTGTCCCATTCTACCACTAATTTTTCCAGTCATGATTTTTCCGTTGCAACTCTTCTTGTTCCAAAGTATAGAATCTTCTTTGAGTTCACAGGCTGTAAACTCTCCTCGCCAGAAAGTTATGGCTGTTCATTCCCTTCTCGACTTAAGTATGGTTCCAGAACCTGCGTTTTGCTTCACATCCACTTTACTGATCTGCCTTATTTGTATGCAGACTGTTTGTTTCTGGTCTCAGGCAGATGCATTCTGACATCAAAGGAAACATCCCTGATTAGTTAACTTATGAAATGCTTGTTAAGGAGTACAGTATCTTCTTAAAGCTGTATGTAACAGTTTATTGTCATCAACTTTATCTGTACAATTTGTGATAGCCACTATGCCATTCAGGGTGAGCAACATTTTTTTCAGAAACCCAAGAGTCGAACTCTTTCTCCTTCGCTGACAAGCCAAGACTCGTTGTCTTACAGCACAACAGGTTTTAGATCCCATTTGGGCATTCATTGAACTAGACCTTTTTAAATAAAAACAAAAAGATGATTTTTTCACTTTGTTTGGCCTATCCTCTTTTCTGTCACACTTCCATGTGAAGTTTCGAAGCCAAGGGCCCCCCCTTCCACCCCCCCCCCCTCCAAATGTAAATGTAATGTCTTGGAGAAGCCTTTTCCTTTCTACTGCATCATCGCAGGCTGCTATCATCTTCTGGAAGATAAGAGAGAGAGAAAAAGAGTGAGAGAACAAAACAAAGAGAGTGAGAGACAGAAAACGAGTTAGAGAGTGAGCAAGAGAGATGGAAAGAGCGCGAGTGAGTGAGAGCAAGACAGAGTGAGTGAATTAATCATAGCCACAACAAGAGATAGATCCCTGGAAAGAGAGCAAGAGAGTAAGAGAGAGAAAGAATTCAGCTATAAAACACTTAAAAGGATGAACTGATACACAAAATATACATTTAAACTGTTCAAAAGACATAACAATAGAAACAAAGGTCTGAGTAATTATAAAATTGTTTATAAACACACATCAAGGTGCGATGGGAAAATATATTTCTGACACCAAAAAGACCATCAGTTTACTGAGTCTATAATTTCATACAAATAACTTGGGTTTGCTTCTCACTCTCAGCACCCTTCTCTACACATTCACCTATTGCCCTCTGAAAGCCTTGCATTTGTTCTCACATGCCTTGCTGCACCAACACTGAAAACACATACCTTGGTACAGAAATCAAAAACCTAACTAAAAACTCCAGTGTATTTAGGACCCCTGAACGGACTAAAAGTGCCCAACTGGACTCTATCCTAGACAATGAAGAGACCACAAAGGATAGAACAGATGAGTCGACTGCCTGCCC